GCGCGCGCCCCCGGGTGGGTGGGGGGGGGGGGGGGGGGTCAGCCCCGGGGGAGGAGGCTTATGGGGGTTTCCCTGCCCTGTATATATAATGGGGAGGGAGAGCTCAGTGGTTTGAGCATTGGCCTGCTTAAACCCACGGTTGCGAGTTCAATCCTTGTGCAGGCCATTTAGGGATTTGGGGCAAAAATTTGTCAGGGATGGTACTTGGTCCTGCTGTGAAGGCAGGGGACTGGACTCGATGACCTTTCAAGGTCCCTTCCAGTTCTAGCAGATAGGCAATCTCCATTAATTTAAATTTAGAAGTATCTAGGAAGTGAATGCTTTTACTGGATTTTTTTTTTCCACATTGGAAAGCTCTAGCTTGGGAGAAACACAGCTCTATTTTTAAATAGACCTGACCCAGATGGACTTGCATTTTGCTAGGAGTGGTTTTATTTTTATTTATTTTTTTTTTATTTGGGCTTGCAGGTTGGCCAGGCTCATGGGGGCCTAATGGGACTGATTCAGAGATCCACAGTCAAAGCTTGTCCCCATGTGTGGTTTGACCGCTCAGAAATGAAAGACCGCCACCTAGTGTTGAAAAGGTAAGGACTGGGCAGTCACTTGGCTGAGAGCTGCGACTCCTTTATCTTAACTTGGGAGGGGGGGGAGAGTCTGAGGGGTCTATATCAGTCTATCCCAGTGGTCACCAACCAGTAGATCTTGGAGCCTCTGACAGGTGATCCTGACTGGTTTGGCCAGGAAGCTATTGAACACTGGCCCTTCAGGTGCCTCTCCGTCCATTGTCGAGCTGCTCCTGCCCTCTGCCTTGGAGCTGCCCCTTGGAAGTCTCCTGCTTGCTGTGCAGAGAGTGGGAGGGAGAAAGGGGGACACACTAGTGTGTGAGGGTGGTCCCCACCCCACACACACACACAATCGCCACCAAGCGAAGGGACTGGAGGGAGCTTGGCAATGCAAATCACGCATGCACGCTGTCTCTTGCAAACAAATTTTGACCTGTTCTACTTATTGCACTTAAAAAAAAAAAATCAGAACTGTTAGAGGTTAAACTCAAACACTGTCTCATATAGGCGCAAGCAAGAGACAGCAGAGAAATCCCTTGGAGAGAAGAGTAATCCACGAAATACTGTGTAGGACTAGAGGAATATTAAAGGGTCTAGAGAGAAAGATCTAAGCTCAAATGGACTCCTATTATGAATTAGGCACAGATCTGTTACATTAAATATTTGTCTTTTGGTTTCTGTTGACTGTATTGCTTAAACATCCTTCTTTCTGCTTCTGCAGACTGAAAGAACACGTAGCAGATCAGAACAAACTGCCAATCTTAATTTTCCCAGAAGGTAAGAAACTCTCTCTCATTCCACTGGACTTAGTTCTCTTTTCTGTATTTGTCGCTCTCTGGCACCTATTGCTAAAACCGATTTTTGTCCCACATTTGTAATGAGACCTCTAATGCCCCAGGTCCTCCAAAAATAGTGGGATAAAGGGGAAGAAGGGTGAAAGTTTTTCCCCACAAATGATTTAATTCAGGGGTCGAGAACCTCTTTTGGGTCAGGGGCTGCTGACCCACAGAAAATTGAGTCGGGGGCTGCACACAAGCGAGAAGCAAAACACCTGAACAGACACTGACATGGCCCCTGACTGAGGAGGAGAAAGACCTTCCCCACATTCCTCTTGCATACCAGAGCCTAGGGGGGCCCAGGCTGTTGGTCTTGTGTGCTCCAGCCCTGCAGGGGGGCAGCGGTGGGGCTGGAATACTAATGCAGGCTCCCTAATACTGGGGGAACGGGAACCCTGAGCTTCAGGGGCTGGATCCAGGCAGACCCCTGCTCTGACCTTCTCCCCGCTCCACCCTCCCGGTTTAATCCTTACTCTGGTGCAGAGACAGCCTCTTGTGTCCCATGCATGGTCTCCCTGCTCTACCCTACCTCTTCATTCTCTCCCCTAAACCTCAACCCGACTTTTCTAGCACTGCAGGAAGGGGATCACTGCCCCACTATTTTCTGACCTCTAATCCTGAGACTTGGACAAAGCACAGGGGTTGGAAAGACCGAGGTGTTTTTCCTGTTCGCCAGTGGCTGCTTGCTTTGCAAACAGGTATAATCCAGCTGGCTGACTCCATTAAAATCATAACCGAGGCTTCCTGACTGGAAACACTCTGATTTTCTTTTGTCCAGGCACTTGCATAAACAACACCTCAGTGATGATGTTTAAGAAAGGAAGCTTTGAAATAGGAGGGACCATCTACCCAGTTGCAATCAAGGTAAATAGAATAGCAATATGTCCAGACACTGCTGTTTACCTGCAGAAAAATCTGGCTCCTAAGTGGGATACGGATAAGAGTTGCTCAGTATGGGTACGTCGACACTACAGATAATGTTGAAGCAGCAGCAGTTGATCTTCCAGGGTTTGAATTAGCAGGTCTTGTGAAGATATGCTAATTTGAACTGAGGCACACTCCCGTCGATGCTGGTAATCCTGCTTCATGAAGGAGTGTTCTCCCTTCGACTTCCTGCAGTGTGGACAGCACCAAAAGTTGAGTTAAGCTACTTCAGCTTGAGCTATGCAATTAATGTAGCTGAAGTTGCGTAACTTAATTTGACCTTATCCCATAGTGTAGACATATTCTGATTGCCAGTAGCCCTGACGACAATGTCCCCTCTAATCATTTCTATCCTTGTGTGGAATAATTTTGTGCACCAAGGTATATGTGACTGCACTACCAGTAGAAACAGAAAACCTAGTGATTCAGTTTCTTTGGAGTTGTTCTAAGTAGAAACCTATTGGGTGGGGTGTTGGTATTTGGCCTTACAATGTGTAAAAATGGAGCAAAGGTAGGCAGGGGGCGCTCTGACCAGCCCATCAATTAACAAGCTAATAAATAAGGACATGGGTCTTGTAATCAAGGCTATATCTGATACCACTGAAAAGATACTGTATCTCGCTACATGGAGATGCCAATGTGTAATGTTTGCTAATATCCTCCTATACAGCCCTGTTTATGCAAATTGCATAGCGTGCTTTATAGCTTATTTCAAGTGTATTTTGAAATAGCTTATTTTGTAATTTGGCACCATCTATGCAGCACCAAATGTTGAAATAACTCACTATTCTGAAATACCCCTTAACTCTCGTGGAGCGAGGGTTACTGGGACATTGGAATAAGTCGCCTGTTATTTCAAAATCCATTTGAAATAACGGGTTGCTTCAATAGATGTGGAATTGCTATTTTGGGATACTTTCAGGATCCTGAAATAGCTCCACAGAGAGCTATTTTCCCCACTAGACCTACATTACTTTCATGTTCATTTATGCAGATGTACTGACTTAAGCCTTTACTATTTTGCCCCTCTGTAGTATGACCCTCAGTTTGGAGATGCCTTCTGGAATAGCAGCAAATACGACATAGTGAGCTACCTACTGCGAATAATGACAAGTTGGGCCATTGTGTGCAACGTCTGGTACATGCCCCCGATGATCAGAGAGGTATCTTGGCATGTAGTTGGTTTGTATTTTAGGATGTAAAACAAGCTTGGCTCAGAGAATCCATCTTAAATTGAGCCTCCATCAAAGCCCTTAGTCCAATTGTTCAATTTATTAAATGTTGCATTTCCCAGTGTATTTAGTGGTTGAAAAGGGAGGCTGTTCCAGTGTCAGTCTGGGACTAAATTGCCTTTGTGCCATCAGTATGTAGACTACATAGTTGTACTTGCTGTTTGAGGATTTAATTAAAAAACTAATTTTCCAATCTGTCTGAGGGAAACTTTCTCCTTCTTGCCATCATTGCAAAGACAGACAAATGTGGCACACAGTTTAGGTCTAAGATTAAATATGAATGAGACGTGTGATCTTCCATTGAGGAATGGAAGGCTAAAACTAGACTGAGAACAAGCTTAATGTGTCAAAGATGCTTCACTTCCCACTTTGAACCCCACTCCGCCCAAACCTCCAAAGTAAACGGGATGAATCCTAATGTTCTGAAATGAAACTAAAGAATCTGAAGGACTTGTAGCATAGCTGCATGTGTTTAAAAAAAAATATCCCTAGGTGAACTGACTCTAATTTGTATCCCTTGCAGGAAGGAGAAGATGCTGTCCAGTTTGCCAACAGAGTGAAGTCAGCCATCGCTCACCGAGGAGGACTGACTGAGCTCCCTTGGTACGAAATGGGATTCTTCTTGGGCATAATGTGACATTCTTTCATACATGTCTTTGAGTCTTAAATGCTCTAGAACAGGGTTACTCAACACGTGGCCTGTTTGTTTGCAGCCTGCGGTGCAGTTTGGGTTTTTGTGGGGCTCAACACATGGCCTGTGGGTGGGATTCTTTGAACACGGCCTCCACTGGGAACATGCTGCACAACGGCGAGGCGTCTCCCAGGCAAGGTGAGCACTGAAAGACTCAAATGGACAGGCTGGCTGGAACAGATGGGTACATGGTGTCAGCATTTCTCGCCCCCAAGGAGGAGGTGCCTGGAGTGCCGGAGCATGGTGGGAAATGCTGGCTGCTTACCCTTGTGGGCAGAACCTGAAAGGTTCTGACTGGTGTACCCACCACACTCAGCTTTGTCCTACAGCCCATTGTCTCCAACCTCCTACATAATTGAGGGAGACACCAGCAAAAAGGCAGCGACGTACTTGACCCAGATTGAAAAAGACTGTTCGCTCCTATCACCTGTGCTCCTTCACGCCTGAATCTAACCTCAAGCCCAACCACAAGAGACGCACTCGCTTAACTGTATTTGTACTTTAAATAAAAATAGAAGAGCAATTTCAAGCCTAATTATACATAGGAGAGTCTGTAGTTTCTCGTAGAGCCGGCCAGGCCCCCAACGCAAGGCGGGCTGCAGACAAACCCACAGGTCTGTAGGAGTTCCTAGTTCAAGGGCGGGGCACGCAGGGCCGCTGCAGCTGTGACAAAGGGGGGGAAGAGACTGCCACCCGGTTGGTGGGTGGCAGGGGCGCAGGCCCGCCCACTCCACTGCGCCCCGGCCCAGGGGCCCTGGATGCAGCCGTTCAGCTGCTACGGGCTCAGCAGGGGCTCCAGCCCGCAACGTGCTGGCCTAGGGCGGTTCTCAGCCCACGCTACCCCCTGGGCCGCCTCTTGCCTCCCCCTTCCCTCTTCCCCAGTACCTGTAGCCCCAGCAGCCGGTCGGGGAGTTGAAGCCCGCGTCGTCTCCGCAGGGGCCGGTGGTCCAATCCAGGGGTCAAGAGGTCGGGGAGTTAAAGCCCGCGTCGTCTCCGCAGGGGCCGGTGGTCCAATCCAGGGGTCAAGAGGTCGGAGCTCTGGGGTGTTCCGTGGGGCCGGTCCGGCCCGGCGTTCTCGTACCCACCGGGGGTCCAGCTGGGC